ACACACACACACACACACACACACACACACACACACACACACACACAATTGAACTGACCTCAAAAGATGACCTGAAAGTCAAAGTAAAATAAAAGACACACTGTGTGAAAAAATCATAAAAATACTCAATTCTTTCCCATCTAACCTCAATAAACTCTCTCTTTCCCTCTCTCTCTCTCTGTCTCTCTTTCTCTATCTCCTCTATCTCTCCCTGTCTCTTTCTATCTCTCTGTCTCTCCTCCTCACTCCCTTCCTCTCCTTTCCTCTCTTCTGTCCTCTCTCTCCCTCTCTCCATCTCCTTCTGTCTCTATTTCTGTCTTGGGCTCTTATCTTTCTCTGCATCTCTTTCTCTGTCTCTGTGCTCTGTCTCTCTCTGTCTCTCTTCCTCCCTTCCTCCCTCTATCTCTTTCTGTCTCTGACTATTTCTCTATCTCTCTTTATGTGTTTCTGTGTCTGTCTGTCTGTCTCTCTATCTCTTTTTCTCTTTCATAGCATCATATTTGTTAAACTATAAGAATGCCTTCCACTCCTTGGACGCATCTCATGCCCTTACCATTTTTTTTAACTCTTCTGCTTATTCTACTTTGGCATTTTGCTCTGTCATAGTCTTCCCAGGCTTTTGTTTCCCAAGTCTTAGAATGGGTATAATTATTTCCCCCTTTGCAAAGTGGCACAAGGAATATGGCGCCAAAGCCAGTCTTAGAGTCAGGAAGCCCTAGGCTTAAGTCCTGCCTCTGATCCATCCTGGCTGTATGACCTTAGACAATACCTTTTTCTTCTCAGTGATTTCAGGTCATTCTTCAAGACTAGAATTTGCACAGTAATTGTTGACTATGCATTTTGAATAGTCAGCTTGCTAACTGAGAGTTCTCAACATACATAGGTCTTTCCTCTCCCCCTCCAAATAAGATGAAGAGGGGTATAGAAATCTATCCTGCCCTACAGGAAAATTGAAGGGGAAGAGGATAAGAGAAGAGGGGGAGAGATAGAAGGGAGGGCAGATTAGGAGAAGGAGTATTCAGAATGCATGCCATCTTGGAGTGGGGGGAGGGATGAGATGCGGAGAAAATTTGGAACTCAAAATCTTGTGGAAATGAGTGTTGAAAACTAAAAATAAGTAAAAAAATTTAAAAAAAAGATGAAGAATGAAAATGATTTAGAAATGATTGGATTAATCTGTATTTTTTATCTATTTTTTCTTTTGTCATTGCTAATGACAAAATTTCAATGATGCAGGAACAACTGTCCAGTTCATCATACGTTATATGTGTGCTGGCTTTATGTTCCCAAGGTTAATTTCTTGTTGAAGAGCATTCAGTCTATTTTACAGCCTTGGAAGTGAATTTGCTGACTCTGGCATACGTCCATTGAACAAAAGATAAGAAACACAGATTCACTTTCACATACTGACCACCTTAACTTGGGGAAGGACTTGGGAGAGGAAGGATGGGGTGTGGGACAAAGAGACTTTGGAGCCAGAGGACTTGGGCCTTGAAGTTCAGTTCTGACACTGCTGATAGTATCTTGGACAAGGACTTTCTCTCTGGATCCCAGTTTCCTTATCTGTAAAAAGAATGTTGGACAAGATGGATTTTAAGCTCCTTTCCAGCCCCAAATCCATGATCTTGTGACAAACTTAATGAATCTTCTATTCATCCCTCTGCAAATGTGGCTCTTCCCCAAGGCTTGGTTCTTGGCCCTCTCTTCTTCATGGATCACAACTATTTTGAAACAAATATTAAATTACTTAGAACATGGAAATTTTAGTTCAGGGCTCTTTCCCCTGTACCATACTAAATAACTATAGGGATAGGGCCTGGACGTATAATCTGATTAATGTAGGGAATTCTTGGGTGAGCAAACTCCCTCAGTCCATGCAGGTTGGTCCCTTTTTTGAAACTTCTAGTCTTAGACAGTTATCGAGGGCACTGAGAGGTTAAGGGGACCTTCCCAGGGTCACACTACCAGTATGTGTCAGAAGTAAAATTTGAACCCAGGTCTTCCTGGCCTTTGAAGCCTCTTCGCCATGCATCGTGCTATACTGCTTCTCCCAATGACTATACTGAAATAAAGCCCAAACTCCTTGTTCTCTTTTCAATGGCCTTCTCCATTCTGACCCTAGCCTAATGTTGTTGATTAGCAAATGCTGGTTCAACAATTAAGTGAAAGATTATGGAAATGAAATGTGTCTATTCTTTAAGTTGACCATGAGTTTCAAGTTCATAAGGATATAAATATAGAAATGGAAGCAAAATTAGTGCTCATTAAGCATAACTCACCCTTCTAAAATGTGACTGCTGTTGCTGATTTGCTTTGGTTGCGTCTAACTCTTTGTGACCCCATTTGGGGTTTTCTTGGCATAGACGCTGGAGTGGTTCACCATTTCCTTCTCCAGCTAATCTTACAGATGAGGAAACTGAGGTGACCAGGGTTAATTGACATGTCTAGGGTAACACAGCTAGGAAGTGTATGAGGCCATATTTGAACTCAGGTCTTTTTGACTCCAGGCCCAGCTCTCTAGCATAGAACCTCCTCCCTCCCCCAACCTACTATTTCAGTCTAATTTCCCATGACAGCTCAAACTGAATCCAAGATTGCTTCAATCTGACTTTTCTAGTCCCCATTGTATCTTACACCTTTCTATATCTTTCTGTGCATCATTCCCACCCATCTAAAATGCCTTTTTGCCTTTCTGAAAAAAACAAAAAAACAAAAGCTTACCTAGTTAAATTTCAAGGTCAACTAAAGTCCCATATAATCTGTAAAAGATTTTCTAACCAACCCAGCTCACAATGATTTCTCCCTTCAGCAAATCCCCATAGAAGTTCTAAGCTTGCATTATTTATCTTTTCCTTTCTCTTTGACTTGTCTCCCCAGATAAGTTATAGACTTCTTGTGGTTTGGAACGCTCCTATTTTTCTGTAGCCTACTCCAATATTAAGAGTGATGCTCAATAAACACTTGCTGATTTAAACTTTGTAACAAAGGAAGAAGCTCTTGTTTTTTTAAAAGTATCTCAGAATGTTTATTTCTCGTCTCAAAGATCCAATTATGTTCTCCATGGGAACCTTTCCCGGACATTCCTCAAAGATCTATAACTCTTGTTTATTTGTCTAATGGAAGAGCAACAAAGAGCTTGGATAATTTAACTCAATAGATTATTGCCCCATACCTCATTCTAGAATTGAATTACGACTTCAGTCTGCCTTTAAACTAAGTTTCTAACAAGAATCAAAATTAACTAGTTGGGGTTGCAGTCACATTTTAGAATTATGCTTAATGAGTCCTAATTTCTCTTCCATTTCTATATTTATAGCCTTGTGAACTTGAAACTTGTGGTCAGCTTAGAGAATAGACACATTTCATTTCAATAATCTTTCACTTAATTGTTGAACCAGCATTTGTTAATCAACAATTATGTACCAGGCACTGGGAATACAAACAAAAAAAAAAAAAAACAAAAAAAATGAAATGATTTCTAAATTCAAATATCCTAGATTTAACTGGAAGGTACTTTGGAGATCATAGAGGTAGACCACCTCTTTTTTATAGATGAAGGGTGAAGTCTACAAAGGGATAAACTTGACACGGGTCATATGCCTGGTAAATGTCAAAGTCAGGATTCAGACTCAAGTCTTTCTGACTCCAAGTATATCACCCTATCTCTAGGTCATGGATGCTTCAAGGAACTTATATTATACAGGGGAATGCAACAATTCTGCTGCTCTGTCATTTTAGTTATGTCCAACTGAAAGACAGCTTGGTGCTACAAGCAGAGGACCTATGTTCAAATTCCACCTCTGATATTTACTGTCTGCGTGACCTTGGACAAGTACATAACCTATCTGGGTCTCTTTCTTGGCTTTTATAAAATGAAAGTGGTGGATGAGAATATCTCTGAGTTCCCTTCTAGCTTGAAATCTGTGGCTTTATGATCCTGCACTGTCCTAAGTATTGCGGATCATAAATGAACAAATAGTCTCTGTCCAAAAGAAACTTAGGGCAGCTAAGTGACACAGTGGATAGAGGTCTGGCTCTGGAGTCAGGAAGACCTGAATTCCTATCTGGCCTCAAATATTTCCTAGCTATGTGACCCTGGGCAAGTCACTTAACCTTGTTTGCCTCAGTTTCCTCAGCTGTAAAACGAGTCAGAGAAAGAAATGGCAAACCACTCCAGTATCCCCATCAAGAAAACCCCAAACTAGGTCATGAAGAGTCGGGCTTGACTGAAATAATTGAACAGCAACAACGAAGAAACTTCCAGCCTATTGTGAATCCTTTATTATATGCAATTATCTTATTCCTCTCCATATTTAGAATACTGAAATGATGGGTTCATACATTTAAGCTCATTATGTCATACCTTTCATAAAAATAACTTCACTTTTTCTTGAAAGGCCTGCATTATGTGGGAAGAGCACCAGATTTAGGAATTAATCAAGCCACTTAATTAAGTCCCCGGGCCTCAGTTCCCTCTGATGTAAAATGAAGGAAATGGACCAGCTGGCCCCTGAAATCTCCTCCAGTTCTCCACCTGTGCCCCTATGGTCCCATGAGTCAAGACACTTGAGTTCTAGCTTTGCCTTCCCACTTACTGGCCTTGGTTGAGTTACTGAACCTCTTGGTCAGCTTCCCCTGTATATGATTTCTGCTTACTTCACAAAAGGATCAGTGTAGATAATACATAGAGTGGGTGGTTGGGAAACGGTTTCAGTGAGCAGCTAGGTGGTGCAGCAGATAGAGCATTGGCCCTGGAGTCAGGAGGACCTGAGTTCAAATGTTATCTCAGGTACTTACTAGCTATGTAACCCTGGGCAAGTCACTTAAACCTGATTGCCTCAAAAAAAAAAAAGGAAGAAAGAAAGAAAGAAAAGAAAAGGGTTACAGCTTGGGGGGTTAACAGAAAGACCGCTAGATGGACGTACATCAAACTTACAGAAGACCCAAAGCTTGGAGGAATGACTAAGGAACCCCTGAGTGACAGAGTCAGGATCGAAAAAGAATCTTGGGAGGTAGGAGCAATCAGACTAAATCGAATAAGATGACACTTAATAAGGAGTTGTGTATTAAGTCTTACACTTGGACACACACACACACAAAACACACACATATACAAAACAACTCGACAAACTCAAGACAAGTTAGGCATGGTTAGACAGCAGGTCTGAGAAATATGTGGAAAGTTCTCAGTGGCTTGAAAGCTTAACATGATATGACACGACAACCCAAAGCAACAACAATGCCAACAAATAATTTGATCTTGGATTATATTGAAAAAGGAGCAACTTCTAGGAATAAGAAGGTGATAGTCCCTGCTCTCATTAGACCTCTTCTTTTTGGGATCAGTTCTCCGTATAGGACCAGAGGAGGATGACCAGAAAGGTCATCCATGTTGAACTGGAAAAGACTTTGGAGGTCATCAAGCCCAGTTGCTTTGTTTTACATTTGTGGAAACTGAGGCCCATTGTGGTTCAATAACTTGTCCGTGGTCAAAGAGCTAGCAAGTATCTGTAGCAGAATTTGAACTCATGTTTTCTGGACTTCCAGCTGCACCATGTTGCCTCCTAGTGGTGAGGGGCGTTAAGTCTATGTCATATAAAGATTGATTGAAAAAACTATGTTTGTCTCAGAGAAGACTCAGAGGGGATGTGATAACTCTCTCCAAGTATTTGAATGGCTGACATCGAGAAGGAAACAACTTTGTTTTGTTTAGACTATTATGGAAGATTCAGGAATGGTGGATAGAAATTAAAAGAAATTTTAAAAAAGGTTAATTCAGAGGAGAAGAAGAAGAAGAAGAAGAAGAAGAAGAAGAAGAAGAAGAAGAAG